TCAAGTTTTACTTGCCCACAGACTGTTATTAATTCACTGGTCTCTTGCTTTCCTGAGGCCTTTTGCAATGCTCAAAGGGTTAAGTGCCTCAGTATTTTGGTTAAGAGTGTCTGAAGGAAATCCATGGCAGTAGAGACCATCATGTTTAGTAAACTAAGCCTGATTCAGAAAGTCATCAGTATGGCACGAGACACCTAAAACATCAATCAATCCATTAAGAAAACACATGACAAGAAACTAGGAGATCGACTTTTGGAGATGGGCAAGGTGGTGGGGTTGCGGGTGGGGATGAAAGGGGTCATTCTTGATCTAAGCCATAATAATATGTTAAATTCATGTGCCAACATCCCAAAATGATGCAAACTACCCTGTATTCCTAGCATATACTAATGAAAGAAAGAACGAGAAAGAGAGACAGAGACAGAGACACAGAGACAGAGAGAGACAGGGACAGAGACTGAGAGACAGAGAGACAGAAACAGAGATCGAGAGGCAGAAACAGATAGAGAGACAGAGATAGAGACAGAGACAGAGGCAGAGAGACAGACACAGAGAGACAGAGACAGAGACAGTGACAGAGATAGAGACAGAGACAGAGAGATAGGGACAGAAACTCAGAGACAGAGATAGAGAGACAGACACAGAGACCAAGAGACAGAGACAGAGAAAAGAAAAAGATAGCTACATGTATAAGACAGTGGATACTGGAAGGCAGGACAGAGATACAAAATAAATAATCCTGACACAAGATCAGATTAAAAGACAGTGAACATGAACAGCATACCTTTTGTAAATAGATTTAAAGATTTTATTTCATTAACAAAAGCCTTTATTAAACTATTAAACCTATATTGTGCAAATATTTTCTCCCATTCTATAACAAGTCTTTTAGATTTTTTTATAATTAACTTTATTTTATTTATGTCTTTTAGATTTTTAACAGCTATTTCAAATGCAAAGTTTTACATTTCAAAGCTGAATTTGTCAATATTTTAATTTTTGTTGCTTCTTTTGTATCTTAAGAAATTTAATCTAAAGTCACACAGATTTTTTCACCCATACTTAACCATAGATAAAGGGTGTTTTATTTAGTCTTCAGGTTACTTGCCTTCATTCTTACTCATTCGCTGGCTCCGGACACTGATGGGAATGCTTGTTGCATGTGTAAAGGGTGCAGCAGACACCTCCTTCCCCCTCCAGTGTGCTAGGCTGTGTGCTTCCTCCTTGAACCTTCTGGGGTCCAAGATTCCTCTTGTGTTTTGCTCTCTCATGTTCCCACAGAGGACATGAGATTAGGTTTTGTGCCACACTAGTCAAAATGATCATCATAACCGCTTATACAATTTTTCACAGAGCACATTGATTTTTCTTAAGAACTTTGCCAGCCTACATTCTAAACACTTCTCATGTTGTGACTCATTTTATGCTCAAATGTTCAAAAAAGGTCAGGGACCAGGCTCAACCTCCCACCTCCAGGCTGAGACTGTTTGGTCCAAAGTGACTACATTTTCAACTGCTCTTAGCACCATGATAAACTGCTGGAGACCAAGGCTGGAGTCTGGCACATGCACACGCATCTCAGGACTAGCACTGGCTGAAAGGAATGTTTTGTCTCTTGCATTAAGTGCTTCTCCAACCTGCTCAGTTCCCTGACACACTGGGGTCTTAGGATAGAATTTTTTAAAGGATATCTCTGGCCCCCCTAGACAGATATCTCTCCTGTCCTGCTCTCTGCCCATGGAGCTCGCCACAACCTCTGAATTGGGCTGTGTAGTTTACGCACAGCATGAAGATACACAGCTCAGGAGGTGAGTAGTGACCAACATGCTTTGGTCTAAGGAGCCCATGGGACTGGCTTCTCATGTGACCTATAAAGGATTTCTACCAGCGCACCATATGGCTAATTGTGGTCCTCTCAGGTGAAGACAAGCAAGCCTCTAAGCTCTAGAGGTGACACATACGATACACATCAGCTAGGTAAATCATCACATTCCGTCCTCCTGGCCGTAGCAACTGGTAGTATGATGAACATAGAACTCACGGCTGGCTATTCTTGGCCAATCAGCTTCACTTAGAGGCTTTTCTTTGAGAGTTGTGGACTTTTTTCCAGGTAGAGGCAAGGACTGCAGCAGCTGCAGCCGTTGTGCAAGTAGAGGAAACTGATAACGAAATCAATTCCCAGGGGAAAAAAATGCATCACAAATTAAGTCAGCCTTGATGATTTTAAGTCTGGTCAAGTTATACCTGAAGCTCAAATATAGACTGTACAGTATCATAAACTAATAAATTAATCTTTTGTTTGCTTAAATTATCAGGTTGTCAGTTTTAATATCAGGACAACCTTCCTATGACATGCATATCTAACACATTCCTATTTGTGAGCCCATTGTTGGCCTTATACTTTTACTACTGCACTTGTTATTTTCTTATTCTGTGTTCTTTACGTAGTTTATTGTTGGTCTCCTCCATTCCCACATCTTACCAAAATATAGTGAATGATCTACGATGGCAAAGAATTTTATCTGCTTTGTTCACGGGTAGATTCCCATTTCATGGATGGGTTCCCTACAATGAATTCTTGGCCCATGGTATTTATTTAATAAAGATTTGTCAAATTGAATAACCACTTGGTGAATCATAAAGAATTATTAGTTCTAGTGTTAAATGTGGACTCACCTAGGTTTCTTTGTTTTCTTTTTTGTGGTGTAAGTTGAACCCATGGCTTCAACCATGCTAGGCAAACACGTTACTGGGGAGCTTGACCCGCTTCCTAGCCTAGCTTTCTAATGAAATCAGTATCTACCTTTCCAGGCTTGGGAATGGCATGAAGTTTCCTCTGTTTCCAATGTATACAGATTATTGGCACTTTCAATTTCAGAAAGTGTTTTGTTATTATATCACTACAATTGTGTTAAAGTGGTAATGGATGTTTTTGGTATATCGACTGTTTGGGTTTTCATTTTTTCAGTTCTGCTTTGCTATCATGAGAGATTTTTTTCCTTTGGAAATGCAAATTAATTGGGAAGGGAGCATGGCCCACGATGAATTTTATCTCTCATATGTTTCTTGTTCAGAAAAATTAAGAACTGCTCTTCTGAGCAGCGGTGTCATTCACTTTCTATTTCCTTCACTTTCTATAATGTCTAGAGTAGAATTTGGTACTTACTCAGCAGGGTTTTCTGTAGCTCCCATCAAGCTGATATCCTCAGTTTATCTATCACCCCTACCCAGGAATCTGATACTTTCATTTGTTGCCCCAACACAGAATTGCCCAGAATCCTCCTAAGAGTTGGTGGTTGTTGTTCTGCAGAAACCAACTATAGGCTTCAATACAAGGACTCATTTTCACAGGCCTCATCACTCACGGTCATCTCATCTGAAATCTCTTTATTGAGATATTTATCTTTCGTGTTGACAGTCTTTTCAGTGCATGGAGGGATGCGATATATTATTTCCAAAGTTTTCCTCTGTGACAAACAAAACAGTTGTTCTGCTCCTCCTTTTCTTTACTGAACCCTTCTTTTAGCCATCACTCAACAGCTGGTCTTTCTTAGGCTGCTGAGATGGCAAAAGACTGCTCTGAGATTGAGCAGAAAGACTCTGTGTGTTTACTGGTTGGTCACATGACTGGGGATGAAGCCAATGGCCATGCACTCAGCCCAACTGCATGGCACAGTCACCTGGCCTCTCCCTTCAGGTAGCTTTTTTCCCTGTGAAATCTGGTCATGCCAAAACATGCTTTCTGTGATCATCAAGTCCTTACTGTTTCTGCTTTTGCCATGTGTTTCATGACTCTAGGGGACATACATTTGTTAGGAGGCACAACAACCCTCCAGTTATTAGAGCAGCCATCAACGAGGAACCTCAAATCTCAAGCCAAGAGAACTGAGAAAGGCCACAGAGGTTTTTAGTGGCAGAAAGGACCCCCAGGTCAGACACTATCCCAGCTGTAACTGTCATCCCACCTCACAAGAGGAGAAACACTAACAATTACTTAATACTTCACTCACTCAACACTTCTCTGAGGTTGGAAAGCAGATCACTCTACTTTTCCCTCTGTTCAAACCAAGGTGATATGGAGGAGACAGGAAGCAGAAATTGGGAGGAGAAAATGGAGTGCATTTCTGAGTCTTGCTTCACTTTTTTGCCTCTGGGTTGAAACACAGCCAACTCCTGAGGATATAATAATTTATTAAAAGAATTTTACGGTCCACTTCAGCCTAGTAGTGACGCTATTGGTGAATATTCCCATGGCAAAAGGAGGAATTGAATGTGGCTGAAAGGCAGACCAAATAGCTTAGCTGATTAAAGTGGCTGCAAGCAGGCACAGGGACCTGGGGTTCAATTGCCAGGCCAGCCAAGCCAGCCCCACCTCCGGGGCATGCTGAGAAGGCAATTGAGACTAGGTGTGGTGCAAGGCACCTGTAATCCCAGCTCTTGGGAGGCTGTAAACAGGCAGATACTAGATCCAACACTATGAGTTGGATCTAGTAGTGAGACCCTGAACACCCTGTAGACCCTTCCCTAAAATACACACACACACACACACACACAAAAAAAAAAAAAAAAAAAAAAAAAGTGGCTGAGTGGGAAGGATGTGGGCAACACAGAGAGAGCAGAGGGTGAAGTGGAAGTGGGTAGAAACTCACTCTCGGGCTTCTGTCCCCTGCCTTCATACCTTTACTCCTATTGCTATGACATAGCTGTTTCATCAGTTAGAGACATGTACTTCTAGTCTGCTTAAGACAGTTGAGATGGGGGAAGAAAGACTATGATGGGAAGGACCCTCAAGACCATCATTTGGAGACTTAGCATTACAGGCTACTGGCACACCAACGCTGAGAACGCTTCCCCTAGCCTATCAAAGTCAGGAAAATAGAGCATCATTTTCTTCTGCTGTGTTTACTTTCTGGGATAATGACTCAATTTTGCCAGCATAGCAAAGGAGCTGGTACCAGGAAAGGGCTGGCACAAGGACTGGCAAAATCTTGATTCTTGCTCTATGGTCGGTATTTGCACAGGAAGTGCTGGAGCTTGTTGCAGTCATTTTTGTTCCAAGCTAAAAAGTCTGTAAAAAAAGAAATAGATGGTTAAATCATTCATTTCAGTAATGAGCTTACTAGAGTTACCTGGTTATTTGGATTCGAGTCATGCACAAGATAAAGTGATGATTATGCTGTGTGTCTATGTGGCTAGTTATGGTATCCAGTTGTTCAGTTTAGATGGCTAGCAGTTACTAGTAGTCTAGTAGTCTAGACCCTGCTGTGAAGGTATTTTTTTTAGATACAATTGACATTTTCATCAGTACCTTTAAGTCAAGCAGATCATCCCCCATGATATGGGTGGGCCTCACTAATGAGTTGGAGGCCTTAAGGGAAAAGTCTGAGGTCCGCTAAAGCAGAAAAGCTTCTGTCTCCAGCCTGCCTTTGGACTCAAGTCTGCAACGTCAACTCTTCCTGGAATTTCCAGCCCCCTGGCTTGCCCTGTGGACTTCAGACTTGCCAGCCCATGATTGCATGAGCCATTTCCTCAAAATCAATTCCCTCCTCTCTCCTGTCATCCTATTATTTTTGTTTCTCTGGAGAAACTAGATAACACAAATTCTAATTTCATTAACAGAAAGAAAAATCATTTAGATATCATGCCCAGTTGCAGAACTTCCACTTCAGCATGCTTTGGAGGAAGACAGGGCTTGACACAAATCTACTGAGAACAAAAGTCTCTTGTTTTTGAAATAGGTTATGGGGAGGGTCTGGGGATGATCTTTCCTAAAGTCCACAGCTGAGTTTTAACAAGTTCCTGCTCAAAGTTCAAAACCTTCAAAACAACTGAAGTCAGTCATGTCCCAACAGGCCACCTATTTATAAAGAAGGACGACTGAGCCGGGGGCAGGTGGTTTTTGGAAGGACTAGAGTATTTCTGAGGAGAGGTCCAACTACTTGCTCCCTAAAACCAAGTTCTTCAGAGTCATCTGTCATCCTGGGATTTCTATAGCAGAGCAAGGAGCCCTCCCCCATTCAGGCGTTTGCTTGGGCTCTGACCAGCAGAGCTGGTCCTGTGGCCAGTGAGTGCTGAGTGGGTATGGAGAGACAATGGGAAAAAGAGATGAGACATATCTCCTCCTAGTTCTCAAGAGGCACTGAGGATGGGGCTACCCATGCTCTTATCCATGGGGTCCACAGCTGGAGCCCCACAGTGTAAATGAACTGGGGACTACAGATTTGCTGGCACTCCACAGTGTGAAAGCCAAGAGAGCACACCCAATGTTGGTACTGTAGTCTGGGGTCGTTCCTGAGAAAGACTCTCTTTAAGTCTGCTCTGGCTCATCGCTGATCAGGGTGCTACTTGGGTCTGAGTGTCTCCTATATGGTTCCTTCAAGGTTCCATCCACAGAGCAAACCGGGAGAAGGCCAGCTTGCCCCGAGAAGCCCACATGGAACAGTACCCCTGTTCCCCCCAGTGCCCCAGCTGCACTGGTGGCAGCCTGTCACATGGATGAGAATAACTGAAACAGTTATTTCTTTCTTTTCACAAACATCTGAGACACAGGAATGCAAGAAATCTACAGACAATCACTCAGCTAGGTAGAGGAGCTAGAAATTCTACCATAAACTAGACTGTGCATGACGTCTCAAACTGCCAAACTCTGATTAGTATTAAATGTCAAAAAGCAAACAAGTAAAATAAATAAATAAATAAATATAAATAAAATTAAAAAAAATAAATAAATAAAAAATTTTTTAAAAAGCAAACAAGTGGTAAATCAAGAAATACTGTTAATCCCAACAGTTGCATTGCAATGTAAGGCAGAGTCCCAGAGACTAATGGAAAAACACACAGAATAAAATGCTTTTTAATAGGATTTAAAAGGGAATGAGGGCTGGCCAAATAGCTCAATGGATTAAAGTCCCTGCAAGCAGGCACAGGGGCCAGGGGTTCCATCCAGGGCCTGCTGTGCCAGCCCCGCTCCCAGGATGCACTGAGACAATTGAGGCTGGGCGTGGTGGCGCGTGCCTGTAATCCCAGCTCTTGGGACGCTGTAAACAGGCAGATCACTACAAGTCAGATCACGTAGTGAGACCCTGAATACCCTGTAGACCATTTCCAAAAAAAACAAAAAAAAAAAGCATGAGCCCTGTGGCATAAAGAGGAGTGTATGTGGGACTATACACTGGGGTAAAAATGTGAGACCTTTTGAATTTTAAAGAAAAAAATTGAGCAGGAAGTTTGTTAGAGCTCAGCTGTAGACCTTAAGAAAAAATCATCCCAGATCCTCTTGGCAAGAGACTGGGGTAAGAATCCATTTCTACAAGCATACGATAATGCTGATGAAGTGAGGGCAAGGTTCCATTAAATTCCCCCCTCCTCCTGTTTGTCTCTAGCCCTTGATTCCTGCCTGTGGTTTCCTGACTTGAGAGTCCACCTTCTAATAGTGGACTCTTTTGTCCACTTCTGCTGATCCAGGTCAGAGAAGGCAGGAAAAGTGCTGGGCTCTCAAGAGAGTGTCAGGCATCTGGTTCCAACAACACCACACCATACCACTGTGCTGATCTGATCAAGGACTGACAGGGAAAGGCCTCTTGTCTGAGAACCTTGCCCAGGGGAAAGCTGGGAACCACTGGGGGGGAGGGGCTTTGGGAGCCCTCCAGGCTGCTGCTTCCGGAGAGCTGGTCTGCTTGCTAGGCATAGTCTCACGTTACAAATCTCAAGTGAGTTCCTGGAATTTGTATTTTTAAGATGTTTCTCAGTAAATCTTGTTTGTTATAGCATCTTCTATCATTTTCCGTGCTTCAACTACAATGACAGCTTGGCATGGGGGTGCACACCCATGACCCCAGCACTCTGAGAGACTGAGGCAGGCGGGAAACAGAGCCAAGCCCACCCTGGAATTCGGCAAGTTACAGAGACCCTGTCTCAATACTAAAAAACATTTCTAAAACTAAAAATTTAAAAAATCTATTTATTTATTTTTAATTATTGATTATGTTTGTTTTATGAGCTAGGGTTTTGCTAGGTAGTCAGGCTGGCCTTGAAAAACAAAGTAATTTTTTACAAGGCCTGGGGTTGTAGCTCAGTGCAAGGGCCCTAGGTTCATTCCATCCTCAGTACTGAAAAAACAGAAAACAAATTGAAAGAACCACAATGTCTGCCTTTTCCTGGGTTACCGCTAGTGCTGAGTTTCTCACTACTTTCTAGGGTAGCCTATTATGCCCTTGGACAATGCAAACTTCACAGTGTTTTCCTCGACCTAGGTGGACGCACACATTCTGCAAGCTTCTGCCCATGGTTCTTGGCTGTGCTCCTTCCTACTGAGCTGCCTCAGCTTTCCCAACAGCCATGTGCTCCCTGCTGCCCTGTGAAAAGGCTTGCAGCTCTTTGTCTTGAAGACCTTCCTCCAGCATGGCTCGTCCCATTCTCCCTTCTCCCTTTGCTGTGAGAAAGCTTCTTCTCCTTTTTTCTCTTCCTGTCTTACAAGCTCAGACATCAGTAAAGTGGAATAGGTGGTCCCTTTCTACTCGGGACCCAGTTCCTGAGGCTTGAGTCAGGCCTTGTGCCAGCTCACCTCCTGGCTAGCATACACAGGGTCACCAGGATGGCCAAAAGGCCCACTGCGATATTCTCAAATGCACAATTGTTGGCAGCAGGTATCTCTTCCTCTTTAACAGTCTATGTTCTTGTTTTACAGATAAAATCTTCACATCACTTATTAGCTGTGTTTGTCAGCGACTAGGAACTTTGGCATCAGCAGTATCTGGAGATACTTTTGGTTGCTACATCCAGGGATGGGGGTGACACAGAAACCTACTGACCAGTGGAGATCGGGGATGCTGCTAAACTTCCCACAGCGAGTAGGATAATTCTCCCAGTAAGAAAAGTATGATGCATTTCATAACTCCATTGGAGGCAAGACTGAAACCCTTAATTTATTAGTTTAATAAAGGGCAAAAAATGATAGCAAACAAAGAAAAGGGGGCAGGATGTGGAGAAACAGGCAGGAGGGAATGCATGGTAAGCCTTGGACTTGCAGGGCTCACGTGGGACTTTAATTTCCAAGTCTTGAGGATTTATCTGACTTCACCACACACATTTACTCCTTCCGTCCAGGGTTTTCCCAAAGGAGACACCTGCTCCTTCATGGTATGCAATACAATTCTAGCTTAAACATATTTAAGAACAGGTGAGTGGGTGTATAAAAAAATAGAGAGAGCAGGTGAATAGCTGGTACATTATTAGAGCAACGATGCTTAAGTGGTCATAGACAGCTGCCGCTTGGCAAACTGTGTGCGCTAGGGGCATTGCTTTGCAGAAGGACAGAGTTGCAGGTGTAAAAGGCAAAGTGAAGGATGGAGGGTGAGACTGTCTCGTCTTGCTCTTAGTAGATCAAGGAAAGGAGCTGAGCTCTGGAAGAGGGAAGGGGGTGCCTGAGAACTTACTGTTGCTGTAGCTCATCTCAGCACAGTGCTTATCCTCACTGGAGGATCGGCCACTCCAGAACCTGGTCAGGGATAGGTTTCCATCTACCCACTTCCACTGCTGCTTCTACAACAACAGGAGATGAGAGAACTGCACAGGTCACCTGGCACACCTGCCCACAGCCACCACCATCCCTTAGCCCCCTAACATGGAGCTTTCACTGTATAAAATGAGAACGTGCAGCAATGTAATAGCGAGCAAAAAATTAGCAAAGACATTCCTTTCACTAACTCAGCAGAAAGGTTACAGACATTTTAGCATATCTACTCCTAGCATAAATTTTGCAGGTTTTGTGGGGGCAATGTGGGAATTGAGGTCATAGCTACACCCCCTGAGCTGCTTTCCTGGGCTCCATTCTTCCTTTAGAGATAAGACCTTTCTCAGTCACTAAATTGATCAGGCCAGAGTCAAATTCACAATGCTCCTCCTTCAGCCGCCTAGAGTGCTTGGCTTATAAGCCTGTACTACCGAGCCTGGCTTGGTGTAAAATTTCATGCACGGGCACATTTTTGTGTACTAAAAAGTGTGTTGCGATAGCTAAAATGTGTATCTAATTTTCTACCTTGTTTTGTAAGCCTTCTTTGAATGGTAAGATTACATGATGATTTCCCTTAAAATTATCCTATTGATTGATAGGTATGTAGTTTCTAGTTTATAGTATTACAAAAATACTGCCATGAACAATTTTGTTCAAAGTCTGTCCGGGTACTTAAAATTATTTCCTTAGGATAGAATTCCAAAAGTAGAATTAAGGGTTAAAAGGTATGAATATTTTGAGGTTATTAATATGCTTTCCAAAAGCCATTCAATTGTAGGATTTTAGAACCTTATCAACTGGCACAAAGATAATTTCTTCACTTATCAAAAAGGCTACTCCTTAAGCAAAATAACAGTTTCATGATCTGCTAAACCGAACATCAGCTTTAATTTGGATTTCTTTGATTACGAGAGATACTACAAACTTTTTAGAACGTTGATAAGCCACTTATTTTTCTTGGGCAAGAATACAATAATTAAACTACAAAAACATTGTATAGAAATGATGTACATATTGCTTCTGTCTCTGAATGACAAAATTCTGATCAATTATAGCAATGAACAAAAATGTAGAATACCTGATAGTCAAATAAATATCATTAAAGTGAAGTAACTATAAAATATTTGCAACAATGATGGTAGAAGATTGCCAACTATTCTATAATTTTTTTTTCATTTATGTATTTGGTATGGGGTCTCACTATGCAACTCGGACTCAAAGTAATCCTCCTGTTTTCAGACTTCCAGGATTGAGATTACAGGCGTGCGCCACCATGCCCAGACTCTGTCACCGGCTCAGCGCATGCTGGGGGCGGGGCCTGTGCAGCCTGCAGGACTGGGGATCGAACCCTGATCCATGCACTTGCCAAAACAGGCAGTCAGTCCACTAGGCTATCTAGCCGACCCGTATAATTTTCAAGAAGACAAAAATATGAAGATATTCATAGGTAAACACTGCAAGATACTATTTATGACAGGGTATATGAATTTGTGGTGTCTCTAGCAATGCTATCAAGCTACAGAACATCCTGAAGCTCTCTCCCGTCTTCTCTGTGTTAAGCCCACAAGCTCCACAAGGAATCTGGAAACTGCTGACCTCAGCAACCAGCCACTCTTTAAAGCGACCTCACGTGTCGTTCCTTACAATAGGGCAGTGATGGAAAATACAGTGAGACCCCAGTGGGAAGAAATTGAGGATGACAGAAGCAGTGACAGTATTGGGGAAAAAGCTAGCTGAAAGTTTTCAGCTTTAACTCAAAACCTAACAGGAATTTTATTAATCTGAATCTCATAATAGAGCTGCATGCACACACACACACACACACACACACACTTGTACAAATTTATTATTCATTTTTGGAAGACTCTGGAAATTTGGGGATTTTGTGTTCTAAGATTTAGGAGAAAAATGAATTCAATGGGAGGTCTACACAATTTAAATCCTATTCTCCACTGAGGGAAGCCAGAAAGCCATTTGCCAAAATGGGGAGCTCATCCTGGTCTTGCCAAGGGGCACTTGTGGGCCAAGTCAGGGTTACCTTCTGTGGGTCATGCAGGCCAATCCATACGGGCTGGTTTCTTTGATAGCCATTTATATACTTTGATATGATACTAGCTTCCTTTAGACTCAGGATAGATGCCAGATGGGCTCCGCTTCCATACGATTGACACTCAAGCTGCACAAAAGAGAGGTCCCATTAATGATGCTGGAGGCGTGATGGACAGCCCTCTTCTTGGAACCCAGTGTGCCAAGCAGAATGGGCTGACTCTGCTTCTCTTGCTCTGGAACTTGGGATCCAAAGCCCTCAGGAGATGTCTGTCAGCATGGGAGCAGACACAGGCCACTGTGTGTGGTTTCAGAGAAGAGGGAGCTCAAGGTGAGGGCAAGGGGCTAGGGTCAGAGGAAGAGCCTTTAGTCCCGGTCTTGTCTCCTATTAGTGTACGTGACCTTGAGTGTTGGGCCAGGGAGATAGCTTAGTAGAATAAGTGCTTGCCTGGCAAGTGCAAGGTCCTGTGTTCAATCCCCGATACCACAAAAAAAAAAAAAAAAAA